GATTCAGGTTAGTTTTGTACTAAAGGTTAAGTTTAGAATGAAAACAGATACTTGCAGAGTCTCTAAGTACTTTTTAAAAAGAAGATTTTTCAGAAAATATAGCCAAGATGGTGGAGAAAAGGCAGGAAGTTGCCTTAGCTTTCCCCAGTTTCTCTCAAAATAACTTTAGATATTGCCTCAAAAGACATTTTAAAGCAACAGAGCCCACAAAAAGTGGGGTGAAACAAATTAAAGACCAATAATTTGGAAGGATTGCAAGAAATGGCTGTATCACGGGTAAAAAGGAAACATAACCCAGCACAGGTGAAAGCTCAAAGAGAAATACGAATTGATGCCAGGCCCCAAAAGTCCTCCTGGAAGAGCTCAATTTTTTTTTAAATCAAATAAAAGAGGTAGAAGAAAAACTGGGAAAAGAAATGAGAGTTATGCAAGATAACCATGAAAAAAGAGACAACAGCTTAGAAAAAGAAAACAACTCTTTAAAAAGTATAATTAGCCAAACGGAAAAGAAGGCACAAAAATCTGCTGAAGAAAATAACTACTTAAAAAGCAGAATTGGCCAAATGGAAAAGGAGGTACAAAAGCTCACTGAGGAAGATAATTCCTTAAAAATTAGAATTAGGAAAGTGGAAGCTAATGACTCTATAAGACATCAAGAATCAAACAAACGAAGTCAAAAGAATGAAAAAAAATTGAGGAAAATATAAAATACATCGTTGGAAAAACAATTGACCTGGAAATAGATCCAGGAGAGATAATTTAAGAATTATTGCACCGCTTGAAAGCCATGATCACAAAAAAGAGCCTTAACAACAGGTTTCAAGAAATTATAGAAGAAAATTGCCTAGATATCCTAGAACCATGGTAAAATAATAATTCAAAGAATCCACCAATCACCTCCTGAAAAAAGATCAATAAATGAAGACTCCCAGGTTGTAGTATGGCCAAATTCCAGAACTCTCAGGTCAAGGAGAAAATACTGCAAACAGCCAGGAGGGAAAAAAAATATCAAAGAGTCATAGTTAGGATTATACAGGATTTATACATCAAAGCATCAGAGGGCTTCAAATACGATATTTTGGAAGTCAAACTACATAGCAACACTGAGCTTTAACTTTCAAGTGGGAAATGGACATTCAGTGAAATAGGGGACTTTCAAACATTCCTGATGAAAAGACCAGAGCTAAACAGAAAATTTTATTTTCAAATAGAATACTCAAGAGAAACATAAAAAGGGAAAAGGGAAAGAAAGAAAGAAAGAAGGAAGGAAGAAAGAAGAAAGAAAGAAAGAAAGAAAGAAAGAAGAAAGAAAGAAAGAAAGAAAGAAAGAAAGAAAGAAGAAGAAGAAGAAGAAAGAAGAAAGAAAGAAAGAAGAAAGAAAGAAAGAAAGAAAGAAAGAAAGAAAGAAAGAAAGAAAGAAAGAAAGAAAGAAAGAAAGAAAAAGAAAGAAAGAAAGAAGAAGAAGGAAGGAAGGAGGAAAGAACAATTAATAAGGTTAAACTGTTTATATGCCCATACGAGAAGATGATAATTGCAACTCTTAAAAACAGTATCATTATTAGGACAGTTAAGAGCATATGTGTATATATATGTATATGTGTGTGTATATATATATATATATATATATATACATATATATATATATATATATATATATATATATACATATACATATATATATATATATATATGTAATATTATACATAATATATATACAACACATATATATATATATATATATAATATATATATATATATATATATATATATAATATATATAGATATAGAGATATAGAGAGAGAGAGAGAGAGAGAGAGAGAGAGAGAGAGAGAGAGAGAGAGTGTGCAGGTAAAGTTGACTTTGATGGGATAATATTTAAAAAATAAGGGATGAGAAAGAGGATTGCACTGGCAGAAGAGGGAATGGAGAAGCAGAAGAAGATAAATTATGTCATGTGAAAAGGTACAAAAGAGCTATTATACTGGAGGGAAAGAAAATGGGGGGAGTGAGCATTATTTGAACCTCACTATCACTGGATTTGGCTCAAAGATGGAATAGCATACACAGCAAGATGGTTATAGAAATCTATCTTTTCTAAAGAAAAGCAGGAGGGGAGGGGAATGAGAAAGGGGGCTAATAGAAGGCAGGGAAGATTGAAGGAGGTGATGGTCAGGAGTACTGTGAGGAGAAACATAGTGAAAGGAGAGAGAAAAATATAAATGGGAAAAAACAGAATGGAGGGAAATATAGTTCAGTAGTTATAACTGTGAATGTGTATGGGAGGAACTGACCTCCCAAAAAGCAGATGCTAACAGCAGGGTGGATTAAAAACAAGAATCCTACAATATGTTGTTTACAAGAAACACATCTGAAGCAGAGATACACATAGACGAAAGGTAAAAGGCTGGAGCAGAATCTATTGTGCTTCAGCTGAAGATAAAAGAAAAAGAAAAGGCAAGGGTCACAATCCTGATCTCAGCCCAAGTAAAAGCAATCAGACTATGTTTAGCATTTGAGCCAGTGACATAACTAATAGGTTTCTATCTCAAAGAGATCATAAAAAGGAAAAGGATCTATTTGTACAAATAGTATTTATAGCAGCTTTTTTTGTGGTGGAAAATAATTGGAAATTGAGGGGATGCCCATCAATTGGGAAATGGCTGAACTAGTTGTGGTATTTTAATGTAATGAAATTCTATTGTTCTATAATAAATGACAAGCAGGCAGATTTCATGAAAAACATGGAAAGATTTACATGATCTGATGCAAAGTGAAGTGAGTAGAACCAGGAGAATATTGTACACAATAACCAGAACATTTTACGATGATCAACTACAAATGACTTAGTTCTTCTCAGCAGTACAATGATCCAAGGTAATTCCAAAGGACTCATGATGGAAAATGTCATTCACAGTCAAAGAAAGAACTCATAGAGTTTGAATGTAGATCAAAGCATGCAATTTACAATTTGTCTTTTTTTTGTGGTGTTTTTTTTTTACTTTTGGTCTATTTCTTCTTTCAAAACAGGAGCAATATGGAAATATGTTTTACATAACTGCTCACAAATAACCTATTTAAAATTATTACATTTTGGGGAAGGGGGTTGGAGAGGGAGAAAGGGGGAAAATATGAAATTCAAAAGAAATAAAAATTAATGTCAATTTTTTTCATTAAATGTAATTGAAAAAATTACTATTTAAATAAAGGATAATTTTTAGCCATAGCAGAGAAATGATATTTGGTAAGAATATAAACCTGATTCACCTTGGCATAATTTCCCCACCTCTGTGTTGCCTGTGTGGTCTTCTTATCAGATAATAAAGGAAAACAAGTGCTATCTCCTCTTGGGCTGGGTTTTATACTTAAGTTTTAAAGGAAGCTACAGGAAGAGCTTAAACCTTAGTCTCCTGTCCCAGTTATGTCTTGAAAATGGTTTCAGTGCCTTTTGAGGAAGGACTAGCTTCATTTTCATGGTAGATAAGGGTCCCACCTTACTCTCTATGCTTCCTTGCACTAGGCAGCTGCTTCTGCAATCCTTCACAAATTCCCAACACTGGATTTATCCAATAGTTTAGCAGTCGCCCCTGCTTGAAGTCATGAATATACCAGTGCAGTCCTCAAATTATTCCAAAAATTGGTATATATTTCTCTGATGACAACTTTAATTGTATTTTTTTTTGAAATTCCTTAATTGTTACAATGCATGTAGAAGCTTTCTCAAGGTCACCACAATTTTCCATTGTTCAATGTGACATGCCCACTTTTAACTAGAGTGTCTGTAATGTCCTTATATTAATACTGCTATAACATCAATGCTAGAATGTTGCTGTTGAAAAGACTATGAGCAGTAGCACAGCAGAAAACGTGACAGTGGGCCCATTTATAGTCAAAACCAGTGTGGCTTGACCATGTCTTAATTATTTCATAAGTAGAATTTCTGCAGTCTTTGTTTTGAGAGATCCCCTTCATAAGGTGAAGTAATACTTACATCAAGTATAATGAACTTTATCTCTTTCTTTTTACACACTGACCTAATAGCTTTCCTTAAAGTGAATCACAACTGCTTTTAACTTATCAGTTGGCTATCATGTCTCCCTGTCCATTGCCTCTGTTTTCTCTTCCTCTGCAGAAGTAATCCTTGTTACAGGAAAACATCTTAATATGACATAATCTCAAACAAAGTACTTTCCTCTGACCTCTCTACTTTATCAATGGCATTCTTAAACCATCAGGACCAGAACTGAACATAGTACCATAAATGTGGTCTGACAAGGGCAATGTACAGAATGACTATCACTTCCCTATTCTTATCAAGCCATACCTCTCTTAAAGCAGTCCAAAACTGTATTACCTTTTGTGAATGACATTCTTATTGTAAGATCCATTCAATAACTTATTGAACAATTATTTCTTAATTAAATACTATATATCAGGCACCATGCTATGTTCTGGGAGTACAGAGACAAAGACAAAGCCACCCCTACCTTCAAAGAATTTCCATTCTATTGGGAGAAGTGAGTACAGACAAGTAAATGTGAAATGCATAGAAAGTAATTTCCCTGGCAGAAGAAAGGTGCTAAAAATTGGGAAGGGTAAGGTGAGCAATTAAGGTAAGTCTTATGTATAAGGTACCACTTGAGCTTTCTATGCACTAAAAGAACAGGGCCTCTATTAAACTGTTCTTTATCCATGTCACTGCTACCACATACAATGGAATGTAGTCATAGTTTTTTAATCCTGACCAGCAAACCAGTATAAAACACTAACTGTCACAATTTAAAGATTTTGCTGGTATATTTTCAAAATGGCAGATCTCCAAATAATATTTAGGCTTGTCCCTGGTTTGTCCCAAACCAGAAAGTTACTGCAGGATAAAGAAACATGTCCATGATTCCCATTTGTTATTTTCTAGCCATAGACTAGCCAGTTCGCTTTTGCCTTTGCTTTTTTAAGCAGACTTAAGTTCATCATTAAAGCATATTGATTTGAAGTTCACTCACCCCATCTGGTCTGCCATCAGAAGCAGTGACTATCAAAATGTAGCGGTCTGTGCTTTCTCTGTCCAATGCTTTTCCCAAGGTAAGAATACCAGTGCTAGTAGGGTAGAAAATTCAACAGGAAAAAATATGTCATTAGAAAAATCTACAATGTTTACAATTAATTTCATTGGGGGAATTTTAGTAAAACTTTCTATTTCTTCACACATAGATAAAATATCTCAGATTTGTCTTTTGGAGAAGAATATTGATGTTCAACTTATGTACAAAAAAGCATTCTTGACATGGAATCTGTAGACTGGTTGCAAGTTTCAGCTCCTACACTTACCAACTCCCTGACTTTGGACAAGTGGCTTCATTTCTTTGAATTTCATCAGAATGTCATCATTAATACCATATATGACTAGAAGGAACCTTCCCCACGTAATTTAATTTGATCTTCCTCAAAATCCTATCATGTTGTCAAGACCAGTATCATTAAGATTTCCAGGAAAGACGAGCCTGAGAGCGGTTAAATATTCTGCCCATGATCATGCAGTTAAGTGTGAGAAGCAAGATTTGTATCCTGTGCTTCCTGACTGAGTTTATTTTTTTTCATTTCTATCTCAAACCTATTCCTGATTCTCCCATAATGCCTCAGCTGACTTCTTACTCTGGAAGAGTCTTCCAACTCTGCAACATTCTTACCCTGGATAATCCCTCAGCTCCTGAGACTCTCTCTTCTCACTGATGAGTTCCTTCCCAAGTTTCTTTTTTTCAGCATTAACCAGGTCAGTCATCCTTCACTACTCTCCTGATTCTCTAAACTTCACCACCATTACTCCATGTGGCTACCTTCCCTAGCTCTCCACCCCCTTTTTTTTAAAATTTATTGTGTGTGTGTGTGTGTGTGTGTGTGTGTGTGTGTGTGTGTGTGTGTATCTCTCATTAGAAAGTGAGCTCCTTGGGGAAAGAACTGTCTTCTTTTTCTTTCCATTTGCATTTTTAGTGCTTAGCATGATAACTGACAGATAGAAAGTGATTCATAAATGCTTATTAGTTTTATTTAACTTAGTTAAGTACTCTACCCACACCATACCTCACTAAGCCACTTTGATGAAATAGGAATGCTGAGACTGGCTGGTGTGGTTTGAGAGATAAATATCTGAGCTTAGAATCAAGAAGACATGGTTGTAAAATAATTTGGACTCATACTCAGTGGGGGATGTTGGTCAAATCACTTATTCTTCCAGTGACCCCAGATAACACTCTAAGAACTGGAAGTTTTAGGGGAGGTGATGATCTGTATCAGTAGAAATTCCTGATGAGGAGATTCTTCATAAAATTACAGGACTGGATCCTTCATCCCTCATATCTCTACAACATACATATACATACACAAATGCACACACACATAAAAACACATATGAATATATGTGTATATATATATACATATGTGTGTGTATATATATATATACATACATATATATATATATGTATGTATATATATACATACATATATATATGTATATACATACATATATATATATATATATATATATATGTATGCATATGTCCATATCCATAAAATACATATCTCCTTTTCTGTCATCCATCCATCTATCTGTATCAATTCACTAATTACTACACAGGGCAGGCTTTTATAAACCTTAAAACACCGTGGAGATGTGAGTGTTGTTGTTTTTGTTGTTGTTATTATTTTAAGCTCTAGGTAGATAAAGGACTATAAGGCTGTGACAATTTTTTGAAAGAATTAAAGATGATAGAACTGAAAGGGTTTCCTGAACAATGCATTCAGGAAGGGCAGCACCATAATCAATTCAGAAATCTTTGTGTCTATTTTATTCATGAAGATTCCCTTGGTAAACAACTCCATCACTCTTCAGTATCCAATAGCTCTTACAACCAGTGGATTATCCCCATGACCACCCCAACCATTATTATTCATTAAAAAATGTAGTCCAGTATTTTATATAAAAAAACCATTTTTCTCAAAAATGGCCATCAATCTTGGCATGTCATGACATAGGTTCACTACTAAGACTTGGAAGGGACATTAGAATCCATCCATTCTCTTTTGAGATGAAAAAATGGGGTTTAATATAGGGTCAGTGATTTGCTCCAAGTTGCATAGCTGGGAAGGAGTGCAGTGGGCTTTGAGGAATGCTTCTCTTATTCCAGAACCAACACCCATTTTTTTGTGATCTTCACTGCCAGTTGCATTATAATGTTACAAAACACACATTATTTACTTTTAGTATTACTGGAGATCCACAGATGTTATTCTCTTTTTATGGATGAGAAACCAAAGACCATAGAGGTAAATTCAGTTGACCTGAATTCAATTCAATTTCAATAGATCATGAGCTCAATGAGGACAGGAACTATTTTATGTTTTGCATTAATATTTCTAGAACCTTTCACATATTAAGTGCTCATTCTATTGAGATTATAACAAACTTATTCAGCAGCTACACTACATAAAATGATTTGCACAAGCTCATGGAGGCAAGAAGTGGTAGGGACACAATATGACATGAGCTCTTCCAATTAAAATGCTAGGATCATAAACATTTGTGATGATAGTGACCTTAGAAGCCATCTGGTAGAACTTCATTTTTACAAATAAGAACATTGACATTCCCAGAATTGCACAGCAAGTAAATGTCAGAGGCAGGATTTCAACTTATGTCTTCCAATCTTGAGATCCTGTACTCTTTCCTTTATGACCTCTTACTTCCCCAACATTATTTTTTTATCTTCTACTTCTTCAAGAGAAGCAATTTAAAATAATTGTTAGTATCATATAAGGATTAGTTGAATGAACTAAGTATGTTTAGCCTGGAGAAGAGAAGACTCAGGATGGAGGAAATAGGGTATCTGTGTTCAATTAAAGGCAGCAAGTTGTCAATGTGGATAGAGGGCTGAAATTAAATCAGGAAAAAAAAGTTTAAATCTGATTTCAGACCCTTCCTAGCTGTGTGACCCTAAACAAATAACTTAACTTTTGTCTATCTCATCTATAAAATAGGCATAATAATAACACCAACTTTTCAGGCTTATTGAGAGAATAAATAAGAGAATATTTATAAACTTCAATATGCTGGCTATTATTATTATTGTTACTATTATTTGTATATGAATAGTTGACACATGGAAAAGGTGGCCTTCTATAAGGTATATTTTAGAGGGGATTCCTTCTTTGGATATTTGTTCAACTGGATGATGACTGACATAGCATCCAATCCTGAAATTATATGATTCTGTGAATTTCCTAAGTCTGTTTAACAGCTCTTTAACCATCATATGAATTTCCCTTTTGAAAATGGTCCAAGTTCTATACAAGTTTATCCCCTAAGTTTCAGAGTTTGGTGTTGGATACAAGAGTCTAATAATCTGATGTGTACTTACTGTGATGGTAGCTTAGGAGGTTTGGAGAGAGGAGTGCTATTGACAATGCCTGGGTTCATGTAATTCAAAATGGAACATTATCTTATTAACTAAGCAAATGCACAAGAACACTGGAAAGCATTCTGGAATGGTGTTGAGTTATGGTTCAGATGCAGATCACACTCTAGTGATAATAAATCTCAATGAATTCAGTCTATGAATTAAAAAAGAATCAATTAGAGGGAAAATTGATGTGCAGAAAACAACAAAAATCATTGTTCATTTACTGGTGGATTTTTGCATATTGGACCATAGTCCAAAGATTTTATAGGATTAAATAATTCCTCTAATATCATCAGGAAGAGGGGCAGAGCCAAGATGTTGAAGTAAAAGTGGTGACTTGCTTGAGTTCTCCTCCAATCCCCTGTAAACATCTGTAAAAATGACGCTAACCAAATTATACAGTAGCAGAATGCACAAAAAGACAGAGTGAAACATATTTCCAGCCCAAGATGACCTAGATGGTTGATAGGAAAGGTCTGTTATGCTAGGTTGAGAGAGGAGCTTAGTTCAGCATGGGCCACACAGGCAAAGATGGAACAGCCCTCAGGAGACTGAATTATGGGTAGCTATAGTAGCTTCCAGACTTCTCAAGCTACAAACGCCAAAGACAACTTAGAAGGGCAGTGGGAAAGGTCTGTCAGACCTGGATGAGAGAGGAGCATGGACTAGCCCTGGCCCTCACACAGCCCTGGGATGGTAGCCACAATGTGCTGCTTCTAGAGCTCTTGGCACACAGACAATGGGGGGATAAAGCAGCTCATCAGAGGTCGATGGCAGGGATCTCTTTGCTGGTGCTGAGGCAGGATTCTCTTATTTTGCCCATTCTTGGATATGGGTCTCAGTCCTGGGTGGCAGTCCTGGGGCAAGGAGGAGAACTGGTGTAGCTGAGCTTATGGTGGTGGTGGTGAGAGAGAATCCTCCTCACAGTTACGAGGAAGAAAAGAGTGCTTGTGGTCACTCGTAGACTACAGCATAGACCTAGAAAAGAGTAAACACCTCTCCTTTATCCTACCACCTTGGAAGAACAGAAAATTTACAGGTCCCTAGAAGTATCTTGGAAAACAGTTGCACGAAACCCCTGAAGCTTGATACAGCACATCTTCCACACTGGAAGCGAGCTCTATCTTAACAAAGAGTTAAAAATCAAGGAATTGGCTGGTAAAATGAGCAAACAGAGGTAAAAAAAATCATGCTCTCAAATCTTACTTTGGTGACAAAGAAGAGCAAAACATACAACCGGAAGAAGATAATAAAGTCAAAGCTCCTACATCCAAAGTCCCTCAAAAAACATGAATTAGTCTCAGGCCATGGAAGAGCTCCAAAAGGATTTTGAGATGCAAGTAAGAGAAGGGGAGGAAAAATTGGGAAGAGACTTGAGAGTAACCTAAGAAAATCATGAAGAACATGTCAATAGCTTGCTAATGGGGACCAAAAAAATACTGAAGAAAATAACACCTTAAAAAACACACTAACCCAAATGGCAAAAGAGGTCTAAAAGCCAATAAGGAGAAGAATGTCTTAAAAAGCAGGATCATCCAAGTGGAAAAGGAGGTTCAAAAGCTCACTGAAGAAAATAATTCCTTAAAAATTAGAATGGAACAAATGGAAGCTAATGACTTTATGAGAAATAGAAAAATATATAAA